GAGGGCCCTCTCGCCCTCTAGGAAAGGCGGTGGCGAGAGCGCGGAGGAGCTCCGGCGCCCGCTCGCGGCGGCGTTACGCCTTCCCGGGAACGGCGAATGGGTAGACGCTGCAAGGCGAGCAAGCCCTCGCAGAGGGACGACGGCCACTCCGGCGGCGTTTCTGCTGAGCGCCGTGCGAGATCCCGAAACCGTTGCCGCAGCCGCGACGTCGCCCGCTTTCTGTATTTTCACTGGCTTTGCTTTGCCCGGCGAAAAGCGATGTATTTCAAAAAAGGAGGAAGCTGTAAATGAGCCCCCGCAACGGTTCGCGTCGTTTTGAGCAGGCAGCTCGGCTACCCGCGGGTCTCAGGGCAGGACGGGTCGAGCGCGCGGCTCTGCCAATCATATATTTTAGGTCAGTATGAGAGAATGAAACTCAAAAGAGGCAGAAGGAAGAACGCCTGCGCATCGTCACGTTTACTGTCCACATGCAAAAGCGTATTTAGAAGAAGGTCTGTCATGCAACAGCATGCAAAAACAAAGGCAGCAGCAGAAGAGGAAGAAAAAGTTCAGCACAGAATGCAGAAGGTCTAGGCAAACGCAACTGAAAAAAGCTTCAAGTTCATACAAACCTCCAACATTAAATTGCTATGCCTGATATAAATGTTTTCACCATCTAGCCTCTTTGATCTTTTCTGTGAAAATGAAAGAAAGGGGGGAAACAAAACAAAACAAACAAAAAAGAGAAGCACAAAAAATTAAAACGTCGTTCCTGCGGGATTCACAAATTGGCAAATAAAAAAAGTCAACGCAATGTTTGGAGCGCAGCACTGTGCCAACGTGGGACGATGGGGCCATGGAGCCACAAGAACACCTGCACCGAGGCACCGCCAGGGAGCGGAAGCTCTTGCTCACGGACAGTGGGCAAATGCAATGGGGCCTTTAAAGAGACAGTTTCCCAGCATTTCATCGGCTTTTTGCATTGGTTCAACCCCAGGCTGCTCTCCGCCAAGAGGCATTTCACCATTTTTCTGTGGAAGCCTTGCACAAAGTAAGGACTCCGTATCCCCGCTAGCGATGCTGTACTAGGTGGAGTATGTGTAACTTTTTCAATGTCTCAAAGCCTTTAAACAGTATTTATTAATGGGCATAGCGACTATGCTTTTAACACTGTTCCCATTTTGGACATCTCTCCTATTAAACGATCAATACCAAAAAAGCTTTTTTTTTTTTTTGCATTTCCTCGAATGCACAATATACATTTTTCTTTGGATTTTAACTCAATTTGTTATAGAGCAGCAAAGCTAGATTTTTGTAAAGCAAACCAAGTACGTTACTCTCTAGCATTCAACATGCAGAATTTTAGCAATCAGACTGGCTATGGGACAAAAAGCTGTTCGCTTTGAAATCAAATAATTGACGCCTGTGGATTAACAATAAATAAATAAATACCCAACCCAAAGCACGTGAAGAAATTGGAGCACTGTCTTTTTAAACAGGTTACGTATGCATGAATGATATGGCAAATTTGTTTGGTGAAAGGGTAAAATGGCTAACCTTCCTCATTCTTATCAGCTCTTCCTCTTTTTCTGCAGGCTGCTGCTGTTTGGCAGTGATAAAAAAAAAATATGTTGGTTCATTTAATTATGTTGAACCTCACTGTATAACTTTAAAAAAAAAAAAAAAAGGCAACCTAACTGAATTATCAGCACAAACCTGGGGCTGGTCACCATTCGCAGTGGGCACGGTGACCTCAATGTGCGTTTTCCCCACCTACATTTAAGAAATAAAGCTGTAAAAACATTTCTTGTTAGAAAAAACTCCCCCCCCCCCCCCCAAGACACAACTTAGTTTCAAAACACAGCTGCATCAAGGTGGTTTTTGAAACGCTGGGTGAACATGCGAAAAAACCAACGCGCAGTCTTCCGGAAAGAGTTAGCGACAGGGCGGCTCTCACCGACACTCGGTCAGTTCAACGGCGCATTTAAAGTAACTCCTTCGGCTGGGGAAGCATTAGCGTTTCCGAGGGGAGCCCTCCGGCCCGCGTTACAGCTGCCGGCCGCTGTCTCCCAGTTCCATCCGCAGCTGCACCTCACGGCGAAACCCCTACCGCTGGCAACGCGCTCCATCACGCACAACTTCTCAGGACCCAGAAAACGGCCCGTTACGCCCTGACGTTATTGAACTGGCTTCACACGGTCAGCGAGGAGAGGCCTGTCTACGAAATCGAGCTTAACACCACGAATTAAGTCCTTTACCCTCCGTAACTAAAAAGCCCAGATTGCCGAAGCGTTTTATACCTCAGGGAAACCGGACTGCCAAACAATATGAAAGTAAAGGCATCAGTTGGTGTTAAAAGCAGTGACACAGTTACGTTTGAGGAACAGGGTAAATTTGGCCAATTCGGATCCACAGACAATTTGCCCCCAAACTACACTTAAAAGAAAAAAAATAAAAATCTAGCTTTTAAACATGTGGGGGGAAAAGCGCGCTAAAGGAAACGGGAGGAATAAAAGTTGCTTGTTCTCAGTCTGATGCCAGGGGAGTTCAGAGCCGCGCAGGCGCAGCGCCGCGTA